TTGTGATTACAATAACCAAATAGCTTTTATTAATAAAAAACAGTATTTATTGCAACACAAACTTTTATTATTTTAAATACAACTTTAGAAACACTAACTAATTGACTGACTGATCAACTGACTGACTAAAATCTCAATAAATATTTTTAAATAAAATATTTTTAAATATCAGAGAATCTGACAATTTTAGCCTACTTTGTTGATTCTCACCACACAGCCCCTTCTAGAATTTGACGGCTGCATCTCGACAAATTCTATCCGTATTACACATTATTACTACCTCCTAAGCCTCAATGGAAAACGCACTATTCTACCCACTCGAGTCACCTTCGGTGCTATCTGCTTGTTACTGTCATCATCTAACACCTTGACACTATCTTGACAACAACCTTCATCAGCTTCATTTGCAAAATATGCTGGTTTCACTCGATCCATGCTGACGTTCATCGTGCGTCCTCTTGCCCTTATTGTTAGAGTTTTCTCACCACGACATAAAATTTCATATGGGCCCTCATACGGCTGTTTCAGTGGTGGCCGCACAGCGTCATCACGTAAGAATACGTGCGTACTGCTTTTCAAATCTTTAAATATGAATGGCTTTTCCGTCATATGACGCGATGTTTGCAATGGCTTCAGTTCGCTCATAGTTTCCCTTAACTTCTTAACAAACTCTGTTTGCGATACTTGCTTTAAATCACCATCAAACACCTCTCCTGGTAAACGTATATTTACCCCATAAATTAATTCCGACGGTGTCGCTTGCAAATCTTCTTTAAATGCCGCTCTTAATCCCATTACAACAATTGGCAAGGCCCTTGTCCATTCAACACTTGATTTACACTTCAGTGCAGACTTTAGCGTGCGATGAAAACGTTCGACAAGTCCATTTGACTGTGGATGATATGCTGTAGTTCGATGCCTTTCACACCCCAAAATTTTGGCTAGCTCATCGAAAAGCTTGGATTCAAATTGTCGTCCCTGGTCTGTCGTAATCCTTTTTGGCACACCATAATGCGCTATCCAATCCTTAATTAAAGCCTCAGCCACACATTCTGCCGTAATCTCCGCCAATGGTACCACCACCGGCCACCTTGAAAACCGGTCAATGCATGTCAGGCAATACCGCATACCATTACTATAGGGCAAAGGTCCCACGATATCAATATGAACATGCTCAAAACGTTGATCAGGAGCGTTGAAATCCTGCAACACAGTCCTGTTGTGCCGCTGGATTTTTGACTTTTGGCATGCCATGCATGTTTTCACCATTTGACTTATTTCAGTCTTCATTTTAGGCCAACAAAAACGAGAACTTATTAGTTTTATAGTTGCTTTTCTACCAGGATGAGCTAAATTGTGTAACATTTCAAACACTTGCGCTCGGAAGGACTTTGTAATAAACGGTCTCGGTTTCTTTCCGGATACATCACAATACACAGAAACACCCTCTGTAATTAACTCTACCAACTTGAGCTCCAGAGATGACGCTGTACAGTTTCTTATCAACTCGTTCATCTCTTGGTCAACTTTCTGAGCTTCTGCCAACTTATCATAGTCTAGTGATCGTCTAACTCCAGCCACTACACTTTCGACTCGAGATAAAGCATCTGCGACCGTATTTTTGCTGCCTGCTATATGCTGAATATCTGTTGTCAACTGCCCGATAAAATCTAAATGGCGTAACTGGCGTTCTGATGCTTTTTCAGATCTTTGTAAGAAAGCAAATGTAATCGGTTTATGATCCGTTAGCACAGTGCAATTCCTGCCCTCAATCATGTACCTGAAATACTTGACCGCCATATATATAGCAAGTAGCTCGCGGTCATAAGTACTATATCTTTTTTGAGTCTCTGTCAGCCTTTTGGAATAGAATCCCAGCGGTTGCATCTGTCCATCTATAAGCTGTTGCAACACTGCTCCTACTGCAACATTGCTAGAATCCACATTTAGCACCAGTTTCGCATTCGGAGCCGGGTGTGCTAGCATTGCAGCATTCGCCAGATTATTCTTACACACTTCAAATATTTTCTCGGCCTCTGCTGTCCAATCAATCAGAGATCTATCATTTTTCTTATTTCCTTTTAATAGCGCGTGCAGGATGCCATGATTCTTTGCGGCATTCGGGAGGAAACGCCTGTAAAAATTAATTGAAGCAATGAACCTTCTTAACTCTCGTACTTCCTTCGGTTTTTTAAAATTTCTTATCGCTTCTACCTTTTCAGCTATAGGTCTAATTCCATCCCCATTTATCACATGACCCAGGAAGGTAACTTTCATACCTTAACTTTCATAAAAAACACACACTTTCCCAGATTGATTCTCAGACCATGATCACTTAATCGTTTGAACACTTCTCTTAAATGTATTTCGTGTTCCTTTTCATCAGCTGATGCTATACATATATCATCTATGTACGTTACCACATAACTCAGATTCTTTAGGACATCATTCATAAACCTTTGGAAAGTTTGCGCAGCATTACATAAACCAAAAGTCATCATGTTAAACTCATATAAGCCGAACGGGGTTATTATCGCCGTTTTAGGTCGATCCTCCTCAGCAATCGGAATTTGATTGTAGGCCTTTTCCAAGTCAATGGTTGAGAAAATTTTCTTATTGTACAATATGCGAGTAAAATCATGTATATGGGGTATTGGATACCGGTCTGGTAGTGTTATTGAATTAAGCTTCCTATAGTCACCACACGGTCTCCACTTACCATCCTTTTTCGCCACTAAATGCAACGGACTTGCCCAATTGCTGTTACTTGGTCTACAAATACCTTGTTTCGTCATAAATTCAAATTCCTTTCTCGCAATTTCAAATTTTTCAGGATTTAACCGCCGAGGTTTTGCATACACTGGCTGTCCCTTGGTAACAATTTGATGCTCTACTAGCGTAACCTTCGTGGCCACCTTATTACTAGTAGCCGGTTCCGTAATCTCTTTATAATCCCGCAGAATGTTATGTACCGGGCTAGTCGCATCAATTGTGCTTAGCTTCACGCAGTGCATCTCTCTCTTCGAACCCATTACCTGGAGGCCTGTAATGCCATCTAAAATTCTCCTGTTCTTCAGGTCAACTATCAAACCAAAATTATTCAAAAAATCCGCCCCTATTATTGGGTGATTTACCTTCGCCACTAGGAACTCCCACAGGAACTGTCTGCGCAACCCCAAATTAACTTGCACTAATTTCGTTCCATACGTGCTAATTTTCGCTCCGTTTGCTGCGTATAAATAATATTGCGTGGCTTCATTTTCAGGCTGCATTCTCTTTGGCAAAATTGAAACTTCCGCGCCTGTGTCTATTAGATAATTTATACCTGTTTTTTTATCTTTGAAGAACAAACGGCATGCTTTACCCTCTGCCACTTCACTCGCCGTCAGACGTGAAGTGGTGTTTAGTTTTCCGCTGAGTTTCGCGGTGGTTTGTACTGGCAAGGCTGAACACATTTTGTGGACCTCTCCTTGAACCGCCGATGATAAAAACAGATATTACCTCTTCTAGCACTTGATGATCGCCCTTTTCCACGATCTCTGTCATTGCTTCTTCCTCTTTTGCCCAACTGAATGACCAAATTATTTATCATGACTTTCAACTCGTCAATTTCCTTCCTCATCTCCTTCGGTTCATTCCTTTGTACTACACAAACCGTTTCTGTTTCCTGTACCTCAAATACCTTATCAGCCACTTTGGCCCACTGTGCAGAATCACCTTCCACTGCAGCTACGATTGTTCTAACTCCCACTGGCAGTCGCTGTAACCACAATGACTTTAGTACATCATCATTCATTGAATTGCCGGCCATCTCCTTCATTTTCTTCAGCAATTGAGTTGGTTTCATGTCACCTAACTCCAATTCTGTCAGCAACTTACGCAGCCTTTTGTGCTCCGATTCTGTGAATTCATAAATTAACCGTTTCTTCAACGTCTCATATTTCAACACCTTCGGTGGATCTCGAATCACATCAACTATGCACTCCAGGTATTTCGGCTCTAAACTTGCTACTACATGGTCGAACATTGTATCATCTTTCGTTATTCCCGCATTCCTGAACTGTGCTTCCATTTGCAGAAAAAAAAGGTCCGGATGCTCTCTTGAAAACATCATCGGCTTAACTGAAACCCGGTATACCTCCTTGTCAGTGCGACTTTCTCCTTCTGCCGGAAAAAAATCTTCTTCCTCACGGTTAGTCATCTTGCTTGCTAATGTTGGGCTTGATAATAACTTACAACTCCTTTTTGTGTCGGGGTCACCAATGTTGTGATTACAATAACCAAATAGCTTTTATTAATAAAAAACAGTATTTATTGTAACACAAACTTTTATTATTTTTAATACAACTTTAGAAACACTAACTAATTGACTGACTGATCAACTGACTGAAAAAATCTGAATAAATATTTTTAAATATCAGAGAATCTGACAATTTTAGCCTACTTTGTTGATTCTCACCACACGCTTAAATTTTTTATAAACAAAATTTATTTAAAAAAAAAGCGTTGTTGAATTATAACTTTTAAATAAAAATATTTATTTGTATTAATATTTATTCATCAAGAAAATATTTTTTATATGGATGCTTAGAAAATACTTTAGTTATGATTTCACTATAAATATCACTATAAACTTTGTTTACTGAGTCTTGCATTTCGATAAATATTTCCCTCCAGTTTTCATTAAGGAATAAATTCATATTATTGCTTAGTTCTTTATCACTATTAAATAAGTTTTCAAAATTGAAATAAACACGTCCTGGATTAAGTCTTATTCTTATATTCTCAACTTTCATATAAGTGCCGCCATTCTTTTTGTATGATGTACCATTGAATTTTAATATTACGTCACTGTTGACTAAAAAAATATTAAAAATAGTTGATGAAAATTTATTATTTGTAACTTTTTTATACTGATAAACTCACCAATAGTCATATTACTTTTGCCTCTCCCATTTATGGGAAAGAAAAAAAATCTACCATTTACTTCATAATTTCCAATAATACTGCCTTTATCCATTTTAAAGCTAATTTCATGTTGTTTTGTCAGGTCGCTGTGAAAACCCCTACAAAAAAATAGTATTAATTAATTAAAATTAAAATAATGATAAATTTATAATGGCTTATTGTTGTTTTCGTAGAAATACATTTGAATTTTTATTATTTCTATATTCTGAAATACAATAGCATTTTATAACATTATTATAACAATTTATTAAGTAGGGAATATTATACTATGTTCAGACACACCTTAATTTCGCAAAAATCTTAATTTTATCTTTGTTTCAGCGAAATTAAGTTGTTTTTTCGACACAAAATTCAGTTTTGAGGTTAGAACGAAATTAAGCAAAATGACCTTAATTTCGTCGAAACCAAGGCTAAAATAAGGGATATTTCAAATGCAACTACGAGTAAGAAAAAAAAGCAAAAGACGTAGTTCAGATAAAGAAAAAGTGACATATTTTTAAAATAAATGTAAATGACAGTTGACTTTAATAAATTTGGGAAATATTTTGAAAGTAGTGCAAATTTTTAAATTTAAATATAGAGAAAGAACTGTAACTGTTATTAATTTAAAAAAGAGTTAAAAAAATAATTCATATACCTAAAATCCAATAAAACTATTGAATGCCATCTTTTATAGTTATAATAATCAACGTTTAAAATTTCCCTGAGCATGTAATTTTTAACTTTCGATTCATAAACAAAACACATATGATTTCCTTGATTTGAGGCAGTATAAACACTTTTGAAATTGACTTAATTTAATTTTTACGAAATTAAGGAAATTTGGCTTTATACAATGCAACTCGGATTGTTTAATGTACAGAGTTAAGCAATTGAAGTGTTATCAGCTACACATAGGTATATCTGTTACCAGCGGCGAGGCGTCGAATTTTTCAGAGTGTTCACTGAACACCTTAACAAAGCTTCCTTTTTAGATCTTTTTTTTATTAGGTGTTTTATTAGGTAAATAATCTCGCTATTTTGCTACTTAACATTTTTTATAATAGCTTTTCCAAACAGATTAACATAAACACAAAACGTACAATACAAACAAAACCATACATACATATGTTAGTTACACCCAACATTATTTATAATTAATAAAAGAGAAAAAAAATTTCTCTTAAAATATACTAAGGTTCAGAATAAAAACTGTACCGCGCTGCTTACAAAGTATGCAAATGAAATAATATTCACATTGGGACTATGCTCAATATTGAATAAACACAAAACATACAAACAAATATAAAAATAAAAGAGAAAACAAAAACAAAATCATCATAACCCTTAAATTAATGAGTGCAAGCGGTTCAATAAAAAAAGTGAACTTCCAATGTTATGCAAAGTAAATACAAAAGAGAAAAGAAATGGCTGAGCGAAAATCGCTTTACATTTGACGAGAGGTTCACTCGACCAAATTGAACCCCAAGTTCATACAAGCGTGCAAATACCATCAAAGTCACGGTTGCCGTTTTATATGAGCAAATGGTTCAATAAAAAAATTGAACCGCTCATAGTAAATACAAAGTAAAAGAGTAAATGAATGCACGAGAGTTTCTTACTCTTATGTAGAGGTTGCAAATAAATCAAAAACAAAGTCATTATTGCAATTTTATACTAGCAAATGGTAAAAGTGAAGAAAAAAATTAAAGAAATTTAAAATGTAAAATAATATTTAGATATATTTGAATTAATGTGTGATTAAAGATTTGGTTCAAATATCATTTTTAAACGATCTTCTGAAAAATGGTTTTAATTCATAAAATGAATAGACCAACTCCAGATATGAAGAATTTGGTACCTGATGTAAAAATATCGAAAATTGTCGTAAGTCGCCGTTTTCCTACAGCTATTTACCATAAAAACCAGTGGATCACAGGCTGCGAACATTTAAATAAATTGTTTTGCTGGTCTTGTATGCTATTTGCTTGTGGAAAGGAAAAAACTCAGGAGTATGGTGGAATAGTTTATAGTTGGAATTCAGTTTTGATCAAATTGTGAACACCTTACCAAATATAGCCAAATATAGCCAAATATAGCGTCCACCAAGATATAGCTTGGTGGACATTTTAGTGTAATCAAATGGCCAAAGATCTGAAAGTATTCCAACGAATCATTCGACGCATATTCCAAAATTAACTCAAAGTAAAGACTTACAAGTTCAAAAAGACTCAAAATCTTACACTAAAGCAACAAAAAGCTAGACTCGAAAGAGCAAAGGAGTAACGTATGTTACGCTTAAACGAATGTGGCGAATTTCTAAATATTGTGTTCTTTGATGAGAAAACTTTCCCTATTGAACAGTTTAGAAACTTAATTGCACGCACTGCCGAAATTTTGGGACTACGGATGGCCACTTAAAGTAAATTCCCATCTCAAATAAAAGTATGGGCAGCTGTGACCGCCGATGTTCG